ATAGGTCCATAGTTGTGTTGGTCAGCAGCAGGCCGCTACCAGCCATGATCTTTCCCTTGGCTACGGCTTCAGTTCATGCTCGGCCAGCACAAACATCCTCATACATGAAACTTTGTGTGTATTTCTTGTTACTACCTTTGGCTAATTTCTAAAAGTGAAATTTCCTGAAAACTGTTATGGACAATTTATAAAAGCTCTTTATATATAGTGACTGTCACAGTTTATTCTTTCACTAGCGTTAGGTGTTACTATTTATAAACTGTCTATATTTTACATGCAAGAAATGTTATCCATTTCATTGGTTATTTGTATATATGCACCTTTAAAAATATTTATTCGTTCTCAAAGAGGAAGAGGATCAAAAGATGGAGAGATGAGGGAATGAGATAAGGGATAATGGGTGAAGAAAATGAATTGAATGAACTGGGATGAGTTATGCTCATCTGGAAACTACACACATTATGTACTACAAATATATACAAAAGAAAAGGAAGGGTTCAAGAGATGGGTGGAGGATGGAAGGAGGGAAGGGAATGAATTTTAAAAAGAACTGAGATGTGCTATGTACATGTACCAACTCCCATAAAGTATGTAAACATGTTCTACACATATGTACTAATAAACTAAAATAATAAAAATTAAAAAGAAATAAAGGCAACAAAAAACTATTGTCCATTAGAAAGTGCTTCCTTCCTTCTTGCATTAATTAATTCATTTTCACATAGGAAATTGTGCATCTGTTGGAATGTTACTGCTTAATGGATAATGTGAATAATGAAATCATACAGATTAAGAGCAGGAGGGGGCCTTAGCAATCTTCTAGCCCTCTGTATTTCTGGGCTAATGAGCCTGACATAGAATCCACTTATCTACTGCCTTACTCTTTAATATTTTGATAATTATGAACAACATTAAAATATTATTGTATTTTTTATTGAAATAAATTTGCCTAACTTTGCTGAATAAGCAATATCTATATCAGCATCATTCAAACGAAATTTATTGAGAGCTACACATAGATTTTTACTAACCACATTGAAAAGAAATGCATGATAAAATTTTTCTCCTGTGAGAATGAGAGTTTTTATTATGAGAATTTTTAGATGCCTAACATTTTAGAATGTTTAGAGCATTTATTATGAGAACTTTTAGATGCCTGACATTTTTGTATAATGTATTGAAATAGAAAATGTACTTTATACTTACACTATGCTTCACTTCTGAAAAGTTGCATTGAAGTGCTTAATAACCACTGCACTTTTATCCACAGAATTACTGAAGGAATTAGCACCAGTCTTTCTCTTGTCTAATTTTCCCATCCTTGTAGCTCACATCCCTTTCACGGCTCACTGGTGCTCCCGCTCAGCCTCAAATGTCATCGTTTGTGACTGCATTGCATCTGTGAATGACTTTACCCACTCTCATAGTCCTAAGCTCAGTGGGGAAAGTCCGCTGTTTCCAGGAAAGACATCCCCATCTCCAGGAGACAGCAATGTGATGTTGAGTTCTGATGGCTGGCAAGCATTCACTGGACTTTTGGTGTAGTCAAGACATGCGTTCTTGCAGAACCCGTCAGTAATATAACTCATTGGCACAAGTGACCCAGTTATGTTTTCCCTGACAAGAGCAAGGGGAAATTCTAAAGGAGGATGGTGCTCTGGCTTGCCTCAGTTCCTTTCATCTAATAGTCCTCCTTAAGATGATAGTAATTATTCAGATACTTCCCAAACTTACTCATGTAATTTTCCTGGCTTTCCACATGGTTTTTGTCTTGGTTACTTTTCACTCATTGCTGACTTGAAGTATGTGATGCTCAAAATTAAGGAATGAAACGTTTATTTTGTTCACAGTTCAGTTAGTAATCACCTGGCTCCAAGGCAGAGTGGCACATGGAAGAGGGCAATGGTTCATGGCAGGGGAAAACAGCAAAAACAGCAAAGACAAAAAGGGAGGAGAGAGAGCAAGCCTCTTTTCCTCCCTTATATGGTATGCAGGCTGCCTCCCCCAAGGTGGGTGTAGCACTCACACCTATAATCCCACCTTTGGACCATAAATCAATCAAAAACTCTAGAAACCCACCCCATGACTGCATGAGGCTTTGAGGGACATCTAGACAAAAATAATAAAAGTTCTCTACCCTCTTTACTCCTGATTTCTTTTTTCCTTAATGCTGACTCTATAACCAGAAACCTGTTAGCTGTGCCAGCTCTGTGGGCTCATTCTCTGCATGTATCTTTTATGGACATTGAAAGTTGGTATTGCCCTCATTTTCCCAATGCTCCTAATTTCCCAAATGAAGAAGTGTTGTCTGGAAATATTTCCTAGTATCTGCTCATTCAGATGAAATCCTGAACTCTCAAAGTAAAAGGAAAAGTTGAATTGATATTATGGAATATCAAGGCATGTCTAGAGGAATTCTGATACTCAAGATGTCACTGCAGAAATTTCACTTTGTGTGGTTGAAGGATTAAGTACATTTTCCACTCATACTGGTGAGAAACAAGGAAATTTGAGATCAGCATGGAATAATATATCTCACTTAATTTTCAGCAAAATCTTAAAAGGCTAATAATGCAACATGAACAAGAGAATGTAGCATATCTGTATACTTTCCCTAACAATATTTGCTATAGAGAATTTGTAACAAATTTTTAGCAGTATTTATGAAAATTTATAATTATCACACTCCTATCTTCAATGAATCTCTTGTTTGCAGTGTCTTGCTTATAAGGAATGATGCACGTTTGCCCATAAATTCATTATTTTATTTTGAGTACTCATAATAGCAAATGGGAAAAAGGGTCTGGGTCCCTCAGCAAGAAATTTGTTTAATTATGGCACATGTACATATTTTTGCTTTAAAATGTGAATGTATTTAGTGGTCAAACACAAATACATCACTCAAGTAAAATTCTCTCATAAATATAAAGAGAGTTTAAAAATTATTTTCTAGCCATAGGGTTATAAGTCTGGGAACAATACATTCTATGAAAAAATATTATGGGCACATAAGGATTGAAAATAGATTCACACACAGAGAGAAACATGTTCCTAAGCTTCAGTATGCTGAGTGAACAATTATATGGAAGGGGCCATTGATGTTAGAAGGGCTCCATGATGAGGGAGACGACCTCTGGGTGTTTGAACCATTCATGCAGAAAGAAGGCTGTTGTGTCTGAGTTATTTGCTCCTTGGGAGCCAGCATATGCACCAGAGGTGAAGGCTGTGAAGAACAGGCCATCAGTTCAGGCCCATTATGGACAGGCAGGCGCACTGGGGAATGATCAGAGGAAGGGGACAGTAAAATGCGAAAGTATGGCAGCTGCAGAAAGAAGTTAAGACCAGGGTTGTGTCAGCTCTCCAAGAAATGCAGTGTTAGGAAAAAGAGGACTCCACGAACTTCAAACCTACAGGTATTTCCCCGTGCCGTTTGTTCTCCCCTTTTCTTTTCTTCTTTAGGCCTGTTTTTAGTGCTTTGGATACAGGGTGTATTTCATCACTGTAGGAATACTTTGGAGTCCTGAGAAGAATTGAGGCCTCAGGATAGAGGGAATAAGCCCATGGAGTCTAGAAGAATTTAGACCTTTGCAATGGTCCTAGCACTGCCATTTACCACCAATGTATTATTCATCATTCCAGTGAGTCTGCTAGGACTGTTGGAACACAAATAGAACAGCAATTGTGAGTATGATTTATTTGTACTAGAAGAGACTATTCACATCTTGGGAAGTTTTTGGTTATAAAGAAGTCAGAGTATAAGCAGGGCTCAAGGACAAAGAAAATCAAATTGAACAAAGCCCTTCTAGAGTACAGAACATACTATTTAATATGAGGGCACTACATTCACCAGGAATTCTCCTGAAAGGGTTTAGCCCTTATGAAAAAAATGAGGAATTCCACTCTCTTCCTGGTGGCCCAAATAGATCACCTCCATTTGCATTTGTTTCAGGAGCAACATCTAGTTCTACCAAGTGTTCTCACACATGACACAGAAGACAACATAACTGAAAAATCAGACTCAGGGTCTCTCAGCTTAGGAAAAAACTGCTCAGCACAGTGGCTTCTTGACATACTTTGTCAAGAGGAGAACCCACCCCGGATGTTCAGAAACACTGTGAACTGTATAAACACTAGTTTATGTGCTGAACGCAAGTACCCTGGGGAAGGGCTACACTGTACTTTTTCTGTTTTCACTAAAATTGCTCACCCAAGAAGGGAATGCAGGGCCCAAAATCACAAAGTGACTTACCTCAGGAAATCTACACCTGACTGCTCTCATCCACATCACCCTCCCACACCCTGACTTCTTTCTTATTTGTTCTGTGTCAGGGTGGAACCACCATCTTCACTGACTCCTGTCAGACTCAAAACATCTAAGAGCACAGGAAGGGTCCTTTTCATCTTAGCTTCATTTCTACAAGCATAGAACCTTCCAAAGAGAAGATACCTGATTAAAGATTTAAAAAGTAGAGCCACTGAGCAAGGGATATGAAGCATTATTATTTAATTTTATCTGAATTTTTCAATCATTTAAAGTTACCAGATATATGTCTTCAAATCTTAGAGAGAAAGATAGAAAAAAATAAGGCCAAGCAGAGTTGACAATGCATTGCTTTGATTTACTCTATTTGAAGACATTAATTACATTTGGTGGGGGACTTACACATTTCTAAGTTATGTCTCGCTTTCAAAGTCATGGTTTCACTCTGAACACAAGGCATATTCAAAGACTGTTAAAGAGAATTAAAGGAGAGGAAGACTACAATATTTCCATTCAATACCAACAGTACAAGTGTGATCTATGTTACTCATAAGCATGGGTTCTCAATATGAACTAATGTGCCAGTCAAAGAATTTATTTAACAGATGCCAATGTGACAGATGCACACAGGAATACATAATGACTTCTCTAGCCCCATGTTAACCTCTAACTAGATATAAGCTAAAAAGGCTTTTACTGAAGCAAAAGGAAGATTCAGCCTCCCATCTCATATGGGGGTTTAGGTGGTGGAGGTTCCCCTGGGACCGGGAATAGACTGAGCAGCAGTTACATTGCTGGCTGCAGCTTTGGCTTGGGCCCTCTCTTGCTCATCTCTCAAAGCCTCTGCATAATGGATCGGGAAGGCAGTAGGGACAGTTTCATTAACCTTGGCCAAAAACTCCAGGACTTTCATCTTGCTTATCTCAGCATGTGCTCTTGGGCCCCACAGAAATTCATAGCGTGGAGGATCACTGTGAAGCACTTGGCGGTAGACCAGAAACTTTTTCTGCACCAGATCTTTAGTGACGAAATTTCGTAACTCACCAAAGATTAAGCGTTCCTTCCCATCATAGATTGCCGTCATATTCAGGAATTCGAGAATCTCTTCTTCAGAGGCACAGTGACCATTTAAGAAGATGATCCTCAACAGAGGCATCACAAGCCCATTCATTGGGGCTCCCAAGCCAGTGATCAGATTTCCATACTTGGAGTCATCAAATTTTTTGACAAGGGTGTAGCAGCTACCACCACGTTTGACTTCCTTCAACTCAAGGCCAAAGAGCAGCTCTGCCCACTCAGAGGTCAAATGTAAGATCTCAGGGAATCGTTGTCGGAAACTTTTCTGGAGCATCTTCAGCATTTCACCCTTCATTATCTTCTCCTTCATTTGATACTTGTACAGCAGGTAATGCATCAGCACTCCTGCCTTCTTCATGAGGAACTCTTTCTCTGAGCTCTCAGTGGGGACTGTGGCCATAGGGGAAGTTGCCCATTCCTTTATCTTGATCTTGGCACCTTTACCAGACCTTTTTGGTGTAGCAGCTTCAGCAGAACTACTAGTAGGTGGAGCTCCTTGTGACTTCTGGGGAAGGCCAGCCGCAGAGGACCTGGCAGCAGCACCTGCAGAGAGAGCAGAGCAGGAGGGGGCCTCCCCGCCCTGTGCCCCTGCAGCTGGAGCATCCTGGACACACTGGGTCTCACTTCTGGCCTGGCGGCGTTTCTCTTGAGCACGGACCTTGCTCTTGTGTCCCCGGGGCATGATGACTGAGGTCAGGGACCACAGGTAAGCCAGTCAGCTGGAGAGCAGGTTGCTGGAAACTGGGGGACAGAGAATGAGGCCCTGTGAATACTCTCATCAGGAAGGCACCACTGGCTTTCTAGGATGCCCCTCTCCACTGCCCTAGCTCCCCACTAGGTCCTCTTTGTTTCTCCCTGGAGAGGGGAAACCCAGTGGAGTTATCTCGTTTCTTGGGCTACCCTCTTCTCCAGGCCTCCTGCGCTGAGAACACGTGCTGCCCATGTGCTGTCCCTCTGTGTTGAAGGGACCTCGAGTTTTGCACGCAGGAAGACGATAGATGTAACAGGCCGGCACAGAGGCCCTTCCCTGCACGAAACTGAGGCTGACAGCTCAAAGTGCCCCTGTACCATGAAAAATGCCGGGATTTCCCTTCCCATTACTTTGGCAGAGAGGCAGCTGTGACCGTTCCTTGGAGCTCTCTCTTGCCTGCACTCACTGGGCCCCAGTCCCCACAGGGAAGCCTCACCTCGCCCACATCTAAAGGAGGAAACGCTCTTTTGTGCTGACTGGTGCTGCACCAACAAAATCAGATGTTCATTTGAAATGGGCTTGAGACAGAGCAATGATAAAATCTCTGTTGATCACCAAGCTCTGCAAATTCAAAAGTGGGGTGTCGTGGAAGAGCAAAATGCTTATTGTTTCCTCTTTAGGGGGTTGAGGAAGTGACACGTTCAGTCCTCACCTATGGTGTGTACTTCATCTCCTGCTAGGACGTTGGGCTCACTCTTCTCCAGATGTCAGCACACTATCCCTGAATATTAGTGGAAGATGTGAAACTGGCTGGATCTGGCTCTATTGCCATATTGTCCAGAAGTGGGGAGTTCTGGGTGTCAGACTGGGGCCCTACGATATGTGGTTTTCCTCCAGGTTTTGATTCAAGGTCTCCTGACTGACTCTGGGAGGTTGTACATTTCTGTCTGTGCTGATCTATCTGGATAACACCCTCTCTTCTCTAGAATTTTTGCAGAGAAATCTAGGGGCA